TACAGCGTGTCCCAAAACAGGTTCAGTACATTTTTTTTTTCACCGCAAGAAATAAATTATGCCTCGCCTAGTGCTCATTCTCCTCCCAAATGTAGCGCTACCGGTCCGAACCACATGCCAAAGTTTGAACACGAACCGTTAATTTATTTCAAAGTTAACTGTGATTTTCTGAAAATTTAAATGTGAAAATGGGGTTCATTTTTGCCAGCTTTCAGTAACAGGCGCCTTAGAGCTCAATGCATTAAAGTGGTTTGTCGGACGCCATTTTCCCGTTGAACATTTCGGAAAATCACCTTTGACGTTTGAATAAAATGACAGTTATAGCGGAAACTTTGTAACCTGGTCCAGACCGCTAGCACTACCTTTGGGTGGAGAATGAGCGCTAGGCAATGCAAAAATTATTTTTGAAAAAAAAAAAGAAGAAATAAAAATGTAAATTCTGTTTGGGACATTTTATACCGTCTTTACCTTTAACATATAAATGTGTGATTTTATTTCTTTATACAAAACGTTGAATCTTAATTCGAACATATATATATATATATATATATATATATGTGTTTTTTTTTGTTTTTTTTATCTGTGAAGGCTACTTAATCGGGTTTGTGCAAGTGGGTGTTATAGCCTAGAGTCACTGAATGCCTCCAGAGTACCGAATTCAGTTCAGTCCACTTACCGGAACTCGGTCCCGTAGAATCCAGTGCTGAATGGCTGGTTTAGCCCATGACGAAAGTTATCACTCGGTCATCTTGTGGATCAGCCCAAAACAAACAATAAAACGTATATAAAACATTTCCCCGTTACCACGGCTATAGGGTGTATGGGAGCTCTGGGCATCGATGAGTTAGGAACGAACAAAAAATGCGTTAATTTTCTCTAGTATTTTTCTTTTGTTTTTTTTTTAGATAAATTAGCCGCTATTCTGGTTCGCCAAAGAAGATTACCGGCTCGTTTCTTCGCTCCGGAAGCGCTGATGCTGCGTTTCGTACTGTACGCCTCAGAAGCTAAGCCTAACACTCGACTTCAGTGTTTTTTGAGGCGAGAGAAAGAAAGACTTGGACAGCGAGGAGGAGTCACGCACCGCTCGGAACAAAAAAAAAAAAAAAAACAGTTTTGCCTTGTTCCAAGAACGTGGATTGAAGAGCTCACACCAGAGCCTTGTACAGAGAGAGTTTGGTCGATGAGAGGCGCGGGCAGAGTCAGGGTGTGCACCAGACGCTGAAAGAGGGCTTATGGTTCAAATTAGAAACTTGCTGAGCGTCATCAGACTCAACTAAGTTAGTAAACTTCAAATGAACTTTAAGTACGTGGGAAGCGCAGGGAAGCGCCAAAGTTACCACTCGTACAGCAGGCACAAGGCTAACGGTGCGACAAAGTGGACGAAAATCTTATCATCCGCGTCTATACGCACTGCTAGCCTTGTGCCTGTAGCACTGGCGGTAACTTTAGCGCTTCCCACGCACTTTGCGCCAATTGCCTTTGTGGCATCTGCGATCTCCTTTGCTAAACCCAGTCGTTTTCCTGTTGAAATAAACATGGTTATTTACTGAATTTCTGGCAGCCACAAGATAGACAGTTGTCCCTTTACTCGTCTTGCGGCACCTAACTCACAATTATTTAAAGCCGCGGGTTTAGACAACAGCCTGACAAGTCACGTGGTTTTTGTCCTTGATATGTCTGCCAAACACAAAAGAATGTGTTAGTGGAAGATCTTAGTATAATGGATTTATATGGAGACTCATCCTTTTTCATAAAAATTTATCTTTTTGCTGGCTCGTAAATATCTTGGTAGCATCTGTAATGGGCTAATTTCAGTAGGCTGGGGACTGACACGCGAATACCATTACCTTTTTGTTTCTTTTTGACTGCTTCAGCAACAGACAAATAAGAAGAAAAAAAAAGAAAACATCAGAAGATAAAGATTGCAGTTTGAAACCTAATTTGAACGCTCTGCTTTCCTTTTTTTATTTTTAAAGCAGGTATTATTTAATTAAATTATCCGACTGTGCGCCCTGTGTTGTAGTTTGTTTTCTTACTTGACTCCACAAAATATATATATATATTTTTTAAGACCTTGTTTGATAAAGATTTGAGTGGGTACCTTCCCAATTTACTCCGAAAAAAGTATCGTCAAACAACAAAACAAAAATCAAATGGCAGATAATTACCGGTTGATCTAATTTTTCAGGACCGCTTTATTCCCCGGCAGAGATTGGCGAAAGACCTTCAACAACCGTTTCTCTCTTTAGTCTTTGTTAAGCCTTTTTTTTTTTCGTGGTTATATCGAAGATGTTGTGCAAAGAAACAGACATTTCATTCCCCCAATATTTGCGCGAATAATTACGAGCAGAATTGCTTTCTAAGTAGCTCCGAGCGCCGTCACAAAAAACTACAAATAAATACGAAAAAAAAAAAGATGAAACGTTCCCTAACATCGCACGCTAATCATAATGCAAATCATCGTGATAATCCTATCAGGAATAAAAAGTAGTAAAAAAAGGGGATGGGAAGGGGGGCGCCTGAAACATATTTTGTTGCCCAATGTAATACAGCGAATTCATTCAGGAAACGAATCTAGTTCTGCGAAGTGTAGGGAATGAAAACAAGCATTTCTTTTACCTTATTTCCTTCGAAACACGCGATGTGTAGATCAACCAAAACGAGAAAAACTGAGTAATTGGAATCCCAGACAGATAATAATGACTCTAATATATGCTCTTGTTCGCATATTGGTTTACCGTGGATAATGAAAAAAAAATTCGGAATCCGGAATGTTTAAACAGCTTGGAAATAAGTATCATTCTTGTTTCATTGTCTTGTTGTGTCAGCGATCGTATATACGTATATTTCTACCCGACAAACTTTTCTTTGCATCAGAAAGCGTGTCTTAAACGAACGCGAGACCGTACGTTTTTGCATTATTTTTAGCTCGAGATATAAAAAAAGGTAAGTCCCGCCATATCACTTGGGGAGGGCATCCCTTCTGTAGTTAAATCGAGATTCGCGAAAACAATCAGTGGAGGCATTTGTTTTCATGGTAAAGGCAAAACATGTGCACCTTTGTACTCCCAAACGTACTTTTAGACGTTAGCTAGATTAAATTTGCTCGCATCTCCGTTGTAATGTTGTTTACTTTGTAATTAAAATAATATACACCATAAAAATAACCCATCATGCCTTTCACTGTGCTTTTAGTTGTGTGGACACGAAGTGTAACGGACTAATTTACCATTTCATGCGATGATTTAAAATATTGTGTGTGCATAAAAGAGCTGCGGTCTTACGAATGCCCTGTTGGGCAAGACATTGGGGCCAATTGTGCTCTCGCAGGGGTGATTACCGATGTCCTCGTTCCCGTTTCATTCGCACACAACGCTTTACTAGACCACAGGCGCAGAAAGGTCTCGTGGGTCGAAAGGCCGGTGGATGTGCAGGAGAGATCCCAGCGTGCTAGATGAGGCCAGACGGAAGTTTTTGACATGTGATGCGATATGGGATGTGATATATTTATCGGTTATAAGGAGAACCGCGGCGCCGCAAAAAGGCAAGTCGCCTCGCCCAACCGTCAAGGCCAGCGGGGCCACGTCCAGCTATGATAAAATAGTATCGGAAAGATTAATAAAAAAAAATGGCGATGATGGTTTAAATGAAACCAAAGGAGTACCGGAAACTGCAGCTCGTCACCCTGGAGAAGTTTCTGCCGCTCCTTTCACGCGTGGAACCAACAATCGCGCTACAAAACGGACAAATCACAATGATGCACCATTGTTTTGTTTTTGTCGCGAGTTAAAAACAAATATTATGTCGTTGCTACGCTAAACGCTTTTCAAGTCAGTTTTTGTTTAATATTCACGAGTGAAAAGCCTTCGGGTATTTCAGTCCATGCAGTGGAGAGAAATATTCTTTTATTTCTATTGCAGTAAACCTTTCTGAGAAAAATATATGGTTTTTATGGTTACTAAATAAAACAACTATTTAAAAACAATTTTTGTTTAAACACGAACAGGAGCGAACTTTGTTCACTTCGACCAATCGCCTGACGAGTCTCAATTGACGTCACACTCCACGTGACTCAAAATATGGATTTTGTTTTCGCGGTCTCGGGGCGTGATTATTCCCGGATCTCGTTAAACTAACTTATGTAATGCGCAAGCGCAACTTCGGGCTAAAACTTAGTCACTATTACCTGGAAGACACCTGACATCTATTTCAATCGTTAAACTAAACTCCTAAATCGTCATGATCCCTTTCAGAACCAAAAAGAAAAAATAAAGAAAGAAGACGAAGTGCGCTTTTTATTTACGATTTTCGCAACCGCCAAAGAGCCGCAAAACGCGAAGATCGCAATCTTTTTCCTAACTTCCCGAACCGGCCGCCAAAACAACAACGGCGCCACCGACGGTCTCTTCCTCCTTTCCCGCGCACGCGCAGGAAAACAGCCGCGCCCTCGCCCTCTTTCAAAAACCACGCCGCGCACGGAAGCGAGGGAACCATCCGCCGACTCTGGGAAGCGTCAACAGCGCGCCCGAACACCGCGCGGTTCAGACCGCCTACGCTGCCTCTTCGGAGCTCCGAGCGTTGCAACAACTGACCGTTTCAGGCTGACGTCGTCAGAACTCTTCTCGCGTTAACAAACAGTCGAAGCTACGTGTTGTAGTGTGACTTCAACAACTGGGTGTCGCTGATTTTGGAAGTGTTCCCGCGTACTCGCTCCCCAAGTTCGCGACTTTTGCAACAGCATGGAACGAAGTTTCAAGCTCGAGTCGGAACCCGGCGAAACCAGTGATCCCACGTGACAGATACGAGTGGTCGACTGCACGACGTGGTTCTAGCGTTGAACGTAGACGTGCTGTGTGTTGTGTTTTGTGACAATTTCGCCGGGTGAATTCGTGAATTCGTTTTTGTTTTCTTTTAATTTTGGTGCGTCTGTGTGGTGGTTCCGATGATTGATCAGCTCTTTTAGAACCGGGTGGATGTTTGTGCTTGTGTCGGCGATTGGAATGCGATCTTGTCGTCCGGAGATGTTTGTCTCGGGACTGTTGGGAGGGTGCTTCTTGGCGGTGTTGGTCAGGTCGTCGGCTAGTCACGGTGAGTACGTAACTAAGAATCGTTATATTTTAAAAGGTTTCGCGAAAGAACTGTTGCGTCAGAAGTTTGAAATTCGTGGAAAAACGTTTTCTGTATTTTAAGTTATTGTTCTGGTTTAGGAGGAACGCGCAATTAAAAGAATGATTTAAGACTCACAAATTGTTTTAAGGTGCAGATAGTCCTTCCGATTTTAAGTCATAGAGACGAGAGTACAGCATTAAAATACGGAGAGGGCATCGGAATGTTTTCCGTCTAGATATTCAAGACAATCACTCCTTTCAAAAATGACTCACTAAGTCTTAAACAGTGGTATTATAGGATGCTCAACTTCGAGAATGCAAGATTTGCAAGATAAAATGAGAACCCGAGAAAGAGTTGCCGCACTTTCTATGGTTGGCGTCAATTTCAGAGAAAACAAACAATCCAACTAGAAAACACTACATACCTAAATTATATTACGAATGACGAGATGAGTTAAAGAGTTTTGATGTAATGAATAAGTAAGAGACCGCTTTAACGTACAGTTAGAAATGAAGGTCAGACCAAACATGGAATCGCAAAACTTTAACGAGTTTCTGATAATCAGTGGTGAAAACCATTCCCCTCGCCTTTTCAAAACGAAATTCGGTGCACGTTTGTAGATTACATTTATTTAGGGAAACCCACGGAGTAACGCCATTGCAGCAAAGACAAGATAACTACTCTGATATCGGAGAGATACGAGAAGGTTTGTCACAGTCTAGAATACTTTCCGGTAGAATCTCGAGTATCCTTATCCCTGCAGGCGTCGTAATTTTTGCGACAAGTACACCGCATTTCGTAAAACAGACCGGTTCATAACGGTCCAGAAAACCCGGAACACATCTATAAACCTCTGCGGCGCTTGTCACCCGGGCGAAAAATGCCGAATCACTGGGCTATGGACGCATGCACGCCTTCTCGTGTTTCGTGGTAGAGAGCTACTACGCGAGCGCATGACGCCTTCTACAGCTCAATGAACAAAGATGGTAGCGCTCAGAAGGTGATTATTGGAAATGTCTATAGTATATAGTCATAGCCTAAGAAAGGCTGGGTGCAGCTCGTTGCGTTTAAGACTAATGGCTTACTTAACCTTCGGCGCTTTTATTGGCAAAATATGTTTACGGAGGAATAATGAAATGCGGGGAGAATCACACGCACCCGGCGTTGCTTGAAGTGGCAGTGACTGTAACAACTGTCAATTAAAAAGAAACAATACATTTACTTTATTTTTAGATTCTCAAATCGAGACTCAAATACCACTTTCACTTAGCGGGTTCTAAAAAAAAAAAAAAAAAAAAAAAGGAATACCCTTTTGAAAAGTAAAGACGGATCACAAAAGACTCACCTCCGATTGCATACGCAAAATGTGAATGAATACGTCGAATAGACGTACGAATGAGTGAGCCGTATTTCGCGGTCTTGTTGATACGTAATTGCACGTTCGACGTCGTTGCTCGAAATCACGTGGAACTCGCACGTAAAGCTGTACAAACTTTAAAGTCCTCACGTGCGTGCTTCCTTCGCAGACAGGAATAAGCTAAACGCTAGAACACCATATTGTAATAATTCATGGCAGCAGTCAAAAATCCTAATCTAAATAAAAAAGCTTAAGAACGATTTCTCTTTTTTTCGGTGGTGCGACGTTACAGCAAATTACCAGAATTCAAACGCGAGAAGCCAAGTCAGAATAAGCACAGGAGGTCTCCTGACTCCTGATGCAACTCGCGCACGCTGTCCAGGATTGCGTGTAAAGTCCCAGGAAAAGTTGTGGATCTCAGCCAATAAGCTTAGGACTGCCGAGAAGGCAACCCGCCCTTACGATAGTGAGTGCCTCAATCCACCAATATGTGGTTTGTCGGTCACAGGATGCAGACGGTGTTTCGTGTGTTGAATGACTCGAGTTATTGGCTGTGAATACATTAAAATCGCTTCTCCATTGAAAGACAAAACGTCATATAAGTACTCGCCATAAAATCATCCTGTTTTACGCAACCACACTTAAAACAGCTGAGCCTTTCCTCAGGTAGCACGCTAATAATTTTTTTAAATTTTGGGCTTTCTTTAGCTCTACTTTTTTACACACAAAAATAAAAACGTCGGCCCAAAGAACTGTGCTACCTAGATCCAATTCCTTTTTTTTTCTTATGTTTTTTTCTTAACTCTGTCAACGATACATAAAACAGGTTGGGCGTACTACAATACCTTATCTCGCCTAACAACAGCCAATGCAAGAAGCCTCCATGTCCAAACCAGGAGTCGGTTTAAAACCACGTGGCTGAGCGTCATGACGTGCGTACCATAATGGGCTAAAACGCGCACAATGATAGGCACGTCGGAGCAGCATGCCACGTGGTTTCTAACTGGCTCGTAATTGGACCTGGCGCTTCGTAGTTCAATCTTCAGATGGCACATTGCGATGACTTACTTTTCAATATCTGATGTAGTGACTTGGCAAGTTATACTCAACCGGATCGCAGGCGGTAAGGTAAACTGGACTCGTGTCGTGGTAGTTTCAATACCGGAGATTTCCTTGTGGGAGTTCTGGTATGTGGTTGACGGACTCTGTTTATTAGCCTGTAGAGTCTCTGTGCATCAAGGTAAAGTAGAGCAATGGGCTCAACTCGTCCGGATGGTTGATTTTCAACAGGCCTTTAGCCGTAAACCCGCCGGCAATATGAAGGTGAACACCTTACCTGGATTCTTGCCTGTTTTACGGCTCCCTAAAGCTATATTAACTTTCAACGTCTCCAATGGTACGTGGCTTGGGGTGTAAACTTTGCGTTCTAGCCCTCTTCTGGAACAGAGCTTGTTCCAAAACTTGCAGGAGCGTCAAAAACAAGAAAACAAGAAGAGGTTTGTTCACCTTCATTTCGATCACGGGTGTACATGCCCATTTGCAAAGGAAGTAAAGCAGCGCAACTCTACCACACTTGCCCCTTAATGCAAGACAGGCATCGGTTAGCAGAATGTTTTTTTACAGCCATTTTGATATCATCAAGAGTGCGAAGCGATGGCCGTCAAAATCTGCATCAACCGCACTTAAGTCGAGAAAACACCTCATTTGCTTGAGAACGGTTCTCCTCCTTATTCACTGTGTTCAAGCGGCGTTTGGTTCCACCTTTCCTAACATACTTATCTCCGCACATATAAAACATTTTTTTTATAATTTTAAGAAATAGTTTAGATACTGCCAGATGCTTTTTTTAAGCAAGAGCGGTTAGATTGGGCAGAAAATTTGAAAACTCAAGTTTGCAACGCGCAGCAAATGAAAAAAAAAAAAAGTAATATTTGTATAAAACAAAATCTTTTTATTGAAAATTGTTTTCGTATTGAAATGGACACGGGAAAATGAAACTAGAAAATGGAGAAGTGTACGCAACAAAAACAGTTTAAAGCGGAGCCTCTATTTTTATTCGGCGCGTATGATGTAATTAGGAATGTCTTGCTTGTTTCCGTTTATATTTATGTTTCTTACTATTTTCTGTTAGCGGTGGCTTCATTCCGTCTGATGTCAAAGATAATTTTAAGGGAAAGAAAAACTTTAGCAAACTGATTCCTGCAGAATACCTTCGTGATATTCGACACGCAAACGAAGTCGTGTTTTAATACGCCTCTCAAATCCTGGAATACGAGCATCACTCGTTTCTTGAATTGGAACTACACATGATACCATCGATTCAGCGCCGATTAAGTAATGTGCTTTAATACTTCAAGATGCGCGCGGGACGGGGTAGGACATTTGGTCTGGACGTATCATGCATGATAAGGGCCCACTCACCGTGGTGCGGAAAGAGACGTCTAAAATGTAGGGGGGGTGGGCAAGCAGCGGTTCGAATCAAAAAGGCACTGCTTCATCCATAGCTTTCGAAGTGCCAAGGAAATCTGCAACCATAGCCTCTGATATACTGACAAAGCCTGGCAGATCGCCACGAGAAGCGGCCGCCGAAACGGAAAAGGGGGAGGGGCAGACAACGGATGAGAGGAGAGCCACGTAACTGGTGCCCCGTTGCGGCGAGAAGCCGAAACACACTTCTCTCGAGCGAACAAGTGTGTTTCGGGTCCTCGCCGCTGCAGAACTGTGCGCTGCCGTCCAGGTTCCCCGAGAAATGGCTTTTTGATGCTCTATGCTACCAGGTCCTCGCGGTTTGAATCTGCGACAGGGCACTCTATGACTCTGTCGTTGAACTGACAGGGTTTGCGAGTATAGAGGAGCCTAAGCTACAACATACGAGCTCTCTTTCTGCAGCGTTAAAGATCGACACTGCTCTTTTTCATTGGAACAGATGTCCGTACATTCCTATAAAACATGCTTCACGCAAATAATCAGAATGTAATGTTTGGCTACTTTCCTTAAAAAAAAAACAAAAAAACATGGAGTTACATGTTTAGTTATATCCTCGAGGATAACGAACGTGATATTCATATTTACGGTATAAAACTACGCTAGAATCAACCTCTATTTCATTTCTTGAAGAAAGTGATTCCGCTTCCCTTTAATCACCTGGTATAAGAGTGTTCTCTGGCACAAGAGTGTTCGAAGCTTTACAAGTGGCATGCGGCGGCAATCGCTTCCGGACAGATTCCTTTCAAAGCAAAACGCTTGGAGTATGCGCCTTTGCCCGTTGACACCGAAAAATAGCACAGATTCAAACGCAATCTGCTGACAAGTCGTCGAAATGACCTTTCCTCTTACCCTTTCTCTTACCAAAAGATAACAGTCAGTCCACGGCAATTGAGGTCTCCCCCCCCCCCCCCCCCCACCCTTCTTTCCTTTTGATTTCTCTGTACTGTCCTCCATAAGCCACACTGGAAGAGAGCAGGATTCTGCAGTCTCAGTCGCATGCATAATTGGGCAAAGCTTCTCTGGTTGGCAATAAGCGGAAAAGTCCGCAATACCCGCCAATTCGTGTCGCGCTAAGCGGCCTTGTGGGGACACAAGGCGGCCTGGCCTCGTGGCCCTCCCCTCATTACATCGATCGCGGAATGGAAAATTAACGGATGGCGCTCTTATTCGGGCGATGGTCGCGGCTGTAATTGCCGGGGAGGGGACCGACGGAGCACGAGCTCGGAATACGAACCGCCGGAAGTGCCCGCTGTTCGGTGGTCTCGGTGAGCCGCAGCTCGCTTCCGCTCCTAATAATGCTGTCCGCGCCAATCCGCGTGCTTAAAAAAAAAAAAAAAAATGTTACATTGAAGTCGTGTACGCCAAAAAAGAGGCTATTGTAATTAAGGGTTTGACTCTGACGGTTCACTTAAATTGGGCTACGAAAAATGAATACCACAATGGTGAATGTTACACTTCCTAGTAGCACATTTCTTTGGGATAAAAGTTGTTTTCTGCCTGGGAATTTAGGGCCTTCAAAAATGTCAGAAGAAGCCAAAGTCAAGCCAAACTTGACCATTTTTGGGCGTACAGAGTTTTGATATAATGGCCATAATTCGCCAGACCAGTCAAGTTAGGCATCACTGCTGGTAGTTCGGCTGTCATGTGGCAGTTCTGAGCCTAAATTGCCAAGCAAATGCCTGATTTAGGATTGACTACTGGTTTTTCGGTTCATTCATGACATCTTTGGTTCAAGTTTGGAATCATTGGCAATTATGCGGCGAGCCAGAAAAAAAGCCAAAGAAAAGTACAGTGGGACTAACTAAGACCCCGGAGCAAAACAGCATTAGGCTCGAATTAAGTCCCCTAGGATAGCGGAGCATGTGCAAAGTTAGGGGCGTGTTCTGCCATGCTACCAGGACTCATGCAGTTTGCCTGTCCAGATATAAATCCGTTCCAATAAAGCGCTTTTTTCTTCTATAGCAATCCTCGTGCCACGGTTCTTGTTAATTCTTGGAATTCCGGGTCATCGATCTAGCCAGAAAAGACCACCACACAAAATGGCAGGAAATTTTGCCCAAATTACCTTCACCTGCATTCCAGATGTCCTTGGGCATGCAGGGCACCAGCCAGGATACATGATAGCAATTGCACATCTACGAGTGGAAGCGTACCGTCCCGGCTAGTGTGCTTATTCCGTGCAAGCTCGTGACGTAATTATAATCATACATGAGTTAGAATGAGTAACCAACACCTGCTGCATTAGGTCCGAATAGATAACTGTTGCATTGCTACGATTGCATTTAATTTTGACGATTGGCCACTAAACTCTGATTATAATGTGCCAACAAACGATTATGTTTATAACGTGAATGAGCGAGTTGTAAGTAGCTAGTTGGCCAGTTATCATGTCTACCGCGGGGAACAAGTTTATTCTGGAGAATTCGTTTCTGCTATTTATGAGCCGATGTGCAGACACGCAAGTTTGAGCGCGTTACTAACGAGCTAATTATTCGAAGTAGGCATAAATGCACGACAATAGAGTTCCTTTTATTATGAATTGTCTCTATCGTAAAGACGACGCACGGAGATTAAAAAAAGAATAAACAAATTAACGGGAACTTCAGAGCTACAGTAATCGTCTGTTCCAGCTTTGTTATAGGAGCAGCTCGTCAGACAAGTCATAAGAGCGCCGCCAAAATCAGAAAAATGCATAAATTGCGATTGAGAAAGACTAAACCATACCAAAATTTAGGTTATTTACACATATAAAGATCTTCATAAATAAACTCTGGAGAAATACTGACGAACGGTGACTGTTATTTTTGTTGGTTTAAATAACGTCCACACGGAACGAATCACTCGCACTGAAGCAAACAACCAAACAATAAGAAAGTAATGTTGTTTTTTCTAAGCTAAAATTTGATTTTTTGAAAGACCTAGCAGAATCAACAAATCTGTTTTCGGTTTGCTCCCAACGGCGGGAGAGGATTGGAACTGAATCCGCCTGTTCTTTCTGGGCGCATAGCAAACAGCACGAACGAGCATCAAAGATTGCTTTTCTTATGTTTCTTTGTTTTCATGCTCCCTTTTTTGCTACCTTGTTTTCGTGGCATTATGCTTCTTTTATTTGATCTATTTTACTCTCTGCTTGTTCCAAGATTACAATTGTTTTGAATTCGTGTACCTTCACCGCCGTATCTCAGATGTTGAAATTCTCAGCGGAAATTCTCCCAGACGACGTTATACGTAACAACGGTGAGCAATTTTCTCACGGGGCTCTTCTGCTCAGCTGCCTAGGTTAACAATTTCATCACCGAGTCTTTGTGAGACGATTCGGTTGTAAATTTTACGGATTTGACACTTTTTTTTTCGTCTTTCCGTTGTTGGGGAAACCGGTATTGTCTTGCCAACCTTCATTTTTCTTGTGGCCATACATATTGCGATCTCTTATTGGATTTGCGTTGCTGCGTTGTTAGCAAAACATTCCGGCTCTTCTAATGATGCGTTGCAAGAGCAATGGCGAGCGTGGTTTCGAAATTGCACTGATTTGCCGGGCCCATCAGCTAGACCAATCGTGTTTCTTGAATTAGCTTCGTCAGCAGACGCTTTTTGACTTAACAATAAAATAAAAAAAAAAACTAAGAAAACTTGTGTTCACTTGAGCTTCGCCTTAACACAACGCGATAGCGTTATCAGGTCCCGTTCTTAGGCCTTCTCATATAAACGAGTGATCGTTGCCAAGCCACGCAAGCGCGTACATGTGGTCTAGTCGCTAGCGTCACGTCTCACGCGACATCACACGTGACTCTGACGTCATGACCTTATCTATCCGCTAATTGCGGCGGGAAAATGTTCCGCCAAATTTGGCGGTAAAATTTTCCGCTAAATTTGGCGAGAAAAGTTTTCATTACATTTGGCGGGAAAAGTTACCCATCAAGATATAGCGTGTAAATCATATAACGGAACACGAGCAGCCACGCGTGACGTCACGTCTGGCACAAGTGACTTCGCACGTTGCATGATGGAAATTTTTGGCCGCGGCGGACGCCGGATTTTCTGCGACAGGAGCACCCGAACGCTTTCGCGTTAATGTCGAGAAGGCACCAATATTGTTTAATATTGAGGGTAAAAAAGAGGTTGCAGCTTAAAACGGAGTAATGATACAAATGGTTGGTAAAGCGACGGATTGTAGGGAATTATATCTTGTTGGAAACTTGGACAGCTACGTAAACCGTCTCTCTATTTTATTTATACCTTACAGCGCCTTAAATGGGTGTTTTCGTTTAGTAGTGCAAAACTTCGCTTAACAGGTTTTACGATAAAATGTAGGCGGTTTTTAAAGTTTTAGGCTAGGTGACGGAAGTTGGCGCTCAATAGTAAGACTACTGTCATTAGAAATCTATTTATTCTTCCATCTATTCATTCATTCGTTTTAAGTAATTATTTCTTACAGTCGTTGACAAGTCAGATAGGGCAGAGTGCGGTGAATAAGTGTGGCGTTTTTCTGCCTTGCTACTCACTCCTGGTTCTTGCCAGCGTTGTACGGAACGGCGTTCCAAGGAACGGCGTTCCTGGAACGCGTTCCTTTTAGGAGGAACGAAGGAACGCCGCCGTTCCATTTTGCATCGCTGAAACTGGAACGGGAACGCGTTACATTTTTACTGGAACGGAAAGAGTAACGGCGTTCCTTTTTTCGTCCAGTGGGGTCATTTTTATTTTATTTAAAACAGGAAAATTTTGACAGTACAAAAACAATATCTTTACGAAGTGCAGGATCTCGTTAACTTTTTGGCTGCTAATCTTATGGATAATTTTGTGTGGTCCTCGCTTGCATATAGTTTCGGGTGCAGGAGAGCTGGTGGACATTGATTCTTTTTTGAGTGCCCGAAACTGCGACTCAAAAAGCTAAACTTTTAGTCGTAGGAAAAGACAAAGGGGGTCATTTCAAACTCGGCTACTTTTTTGGTTTCACGAATCCTCATATACCAACACCCAGAAATCTAAGGCCAACTACAGCCATTTCTGAACTTCCCTAACGAGACCTACAGTTACAAGATCAGAGGTTGCCAGACATGTAACGCACCCTGTATCCCAAACATTGGTCACTTAAAAAAAAAAAAAACACAAAAAAATAACCTTTATTTCTTCTCTTGTCCCCTGCCTTCAAACTGAACAACAAATCCAACCTTCACAAAGAAGTATTTGTAGTTTGCAAGACTGACTTTCAAAAATCCCTACCCGCTCTTGTACTTGCTCGTCTTGCGGACAGCAACATCGAGAAGCAACTGTTGTTAAGTTCTAACAAGGGACTTTGTTAAATTGAAACGTTCGAGGTTGTTGTATAACGCTCGTGCAATGTGGTTACATTTGGCTCGTCTCAATTGTCCTCTACAAAAATGAGTATGGTTAAAAGCTGAGATTTTTAACTTGAATATATCAACAAATAAAACCCTGCTTCCGCTTGTTTTCTTCTTCTGGTGCCCTTCCATCGAGACATACAAACTCGTATCGTATATTGCATATTGATGGGATAGGTAAAAAAGAAAACAATCTTTGCTTGATTTAACTAAATATGGTAATTAGCAAAATACAAATGTAACGTATAGGTAACGATACGTTCCATTTTCTACGCTGTAACGGGAACGAGTTCCTTTTTCACAGATGGAACTTGTAACGGGAACGCGTTCCAAAAATCAGAAGGAAGGAGGAACGAGCTTTCGTTCCTTTTTTTGAGGAACGTGTACAACACTGGTTCTTGCTGAAAGGTGCTCTCAACTTCAGTGATCTCATGGACTGCCTAATGATAAGAAGAAAATCTTAGTTGTCTACGCTCTCTTATGCTTTAATACATGCACTTTAGGGCTAAGTAGAAACAATACCGTTGCGTGAAGTTAGAAATAGCCTCTGGTCTGTTACTGTAGTTCCACACAATGAAATCTAGGCTCGCTCATAATTTCAGCACTCTGACGAAGATTGACGATGCAAATTATTAGAGTATTCTCCTCAGCTCTTTCTCTTCGAGGTATCCTTTATTCATGGTCTTTCTACTTTTACATCGCAGGTGACCGGAGCGCCACCTCTCACACCAGCGGATATCCGGAGAACGAGAGGAGAAACGACGTCGCGCACCGGCAGCTTGTCTTCGATGGTGCGTACGCTCGCCATTGTACACACTCATACGCAAACTACTAGTATACGCGAGTGAACTATATTGACAGTCTTGGAGGAAAACGCCTAAAAAAAAGGACAGAAGAAAACATTCCGAGGACACCTAAACACTTCTTATGAGTTGTGAATGCGAAAGCATCAATGTCGTTCTTCCACTCCCTTGGTTCGTCTGCGGTGTAGTGGCGTAGACGGCCACGTTTTGCTACTGCCGAGGTTGCGGCCACCGATGATATAAATGCCTCAAGCGCCGCTATGTTCTTCGGCGTCGAGAGGAGCAAAAACAACCGTAGCCCCCTTTCCCCTTGCCCTCCTGGCGGCGATGACTCGAGAGCGACTGCCGAGCGTGCTCCTTCCTGGCTTGTATGCGGGCCGGAGCGCCATGAAGAGGGCTCCTCCGTGGGGTGGCGTTCCTTGGAACTATGACGCGTCCGAGCCAGTGGCTATCTAGGAGCCGTTTCACTGGGAATTTCTTTCGCGTTTTTCGTGGTTACAGACGCCACCGGTTCCGCTCCATGGGAAAGTTAATGCTTTCGCATTAATAGATGCTAATATTAAACGGCCAACTTTTAACTGAATGGTTATTTTGAAAACACACGAGCGAAACGACAAGAAACATAAAACATATGCTCAAAAAGCAATAAATTGAGAAAGGCTACGCCCCATAACGCATGACCTGCTCACTAAGAATATCCACATATCCCATAACAGGAAGCGCTAGCAAAGGGACGCAGCGCTATCGAAGATGTGATCACAATGTACTGCCAATTCGCAGCACATTGTGAACGCTAGAATGCAAACTAGATTTTAAAGGGGTTAAAAGTGGTGAGCAAAGTAACAACAAGGAAATGCGCACGAATATCGTGAAGCTGTCTTTGTCATATTTCATGGCAATGATGTCTGTGTGCGCCCTTTTGCTATTCTTCGTTTCAGCTTATCTCCGAGCGCCGCCTAAGGCTGGGGGACAGTTCACAACTTCCAAAATCCGTTCGTATGCCGCACAAAGTAATCCGCAACACTAAAATTTTATAAATAGTTTGTTCGTGTACGAACATTTCAAACTTTCTTGAAAGGTCCTGATGAAAACTAATTATTAAAAATAAATACGATAAATGACGTTCCACGTTTTTAATAATGTAGTAATCAATATAATTCGACAAAAAATGATTACTTTTTGGCAACGCGTCGCTTACTACACTTTTGTTTTCGCGTGATTTTATGTTCTCAGTGGCCGAATCGTATGCTTGTAGTTCGGCACTTTTCCCGCCCAGTTACTTGAGAATATCCTTTGGTTGTCTCGTTTCCTAATTTCCACACACAACGCAAGAAGAAGAAAGGTACACTTGGGCGTCAGGCGCCACAAATCGTGATGAATGTGTACTCTAGACCTCGTCGGAATTCTCAAATCATACCGCAAAGTTCAACAAACATTGCAGCTGACAGGCGTTGGAAAATCGACGAAAAGTTGATTTGCTCACGGCGCGACACGCTCTCTGATGAAAAATGGATCAAAATCGTTCGTCGAAACAAAGATGAGAGGCAAAATCATGCAATGTCAGTGGAGCAACGAGAAAACGAGTGCTCCAGTGCGATCGGAGGGACGCGGTTTGCTTTTGTTGCTGTTATGCGTTTTCAGGAGCTAGCGTGCTTCTTTGTTCGAATTCGGAGGGAGGGCAACAGTCGACCCAAAGAGGTCGTGAGCTCAACCCGCTTTTGCCGTTGACTCCGGAGGGCACCGCTGCAGAAAGCAAGGGTTTGGGCACCGAACGTTACCAACTTCCGTGTTCCGGCCCTGTGCGGCCTTCCCTGCCGGACTGCATCAGTGCGATGACCGTCCCCGAAGCCCAGAAGTCACCGTACCGAACAGGGATTTCAATCCACGACACGAAATGGTATTTTTAATCGTGTTGCAGACGATACCGTCGATACTCCCCGTATCAGATGGAAATGTTTTCCTAAACTCCTTTGTGCAGTCGACGCGCGGAGTGATATACAACATGTAGCTTTGTCAACGCTCACAGTTAAGTTGAAACGAGGTATAGCGTGGTCTGATAATTATTTTGCGTATATCCGCAAAGAGCAACTTTTGCATTCCGGGGCGTAGCCTTTCCATCTTTACTAGTTTAGCGCAGCGCCTATGTTTTTTTTTTTATGTTTCGATTGTTTGTTTTCAAAATACAAATTCAATGGAAAGTACGCCGTTGCCTGTTAGCATATATTTTTTCTGTCCCTGTCTTTGGGTGTTTTCCTTCAACAATGTGCAACCAATTGTTTGTCGTCTTAATTCGTGGCGAGAAGTTCGGGCCCCGCCGCCTCGCCGATCTTTTTTCAAAACCCAGAGTGAGGATACTCCGACTTCCTCTGATGATGCAAGCACGTGCAATGTCAAGCTTCTATGCCCATTAATATTGAGAACATAACCGCGTGGATAGCGCGTGAACTACCCTGCTGTAAAACCAATTAAACTTTTCGCTATCTCGGTTATGGATCTGGAAATCTGTTTCTGGAAATCCAAAATTCATATTGAAAACAAAGAAATAATCTTTGAAAAACGAAATCAAGATAAAATCCAGACACATTTCCAGTTCTATAATTCCGATAGCGAAAAGTTATACTGGGTTTTTTGGTAGGGTACCGATATGGTGAGGAAAACAGAAGCGCCCCTAGCGAGCTTCTAACCACGAATATGTTGACAGCGGCTTTCCAACCTATGTTTCAACGCTACTCTCACTGATCTCCACCAGGTGGGCTGGATGGTGGATTAAACATATATTTATGGCGCCACCGGAAATAAGCGGCATATCCCAGAAGTTAATATTGGACAGGCTTTCATAACTCTTCCGAACGTTAGTACCAACAACGTCCAAGACGTACAATTTTTTTTTTTATTTGTTCCCAGAAAGCAGTTTTGTTGTCCAATTATAGCACATGCAGACCTGAGACGTTTTCTGGGCATTAATTAAATGTCTGAAATATTTTGAAGGTTTTCATAGATCAAATGTGCATGTCTCACATAAAATGCATAATATTCGGGGTTTACCGCTAATTGGAATTAATAACAACTCGCGCTAAAAAGAAAAAAAGTAAAAAAGCGTGATCCGAAGCATTAACGCAATGTAATAAGAAGCCCCAGCATACGCCCGACTTCCTTGAAGAGAATTTCACTTCCGGTGACTTTACCCGTGTCCGGCTTCGAGAGCTGCTAAGCGCCATCCAGTACCCCATAGTAGAGATCAGTGCTCACTACATATGCATAGCTACTATTGAACCGCATGTTAAAATATTCACATCATATGTTATAAAGGCTCCTTCACGCATCGCAAAACGTAAACATCTCGAAAGATTTTTTTTTTTGAGTTGGCTGATTTTGATTAGGTAATTAGCACGTATTTAAATGCGCTTTAAATACATCACGTTTCTTTGAGTCGTTATTTTGTTCTATATAGCAGTGTTCATTTTACTGAAGTGCGGCATCTTGTAAGGTACAGCGGAATTGAAAAGAGGCCAACCGAACATTTGAACGCCGATTGTCATAGCCTCGTTTACAAATTCTTTTTTTTTTGTATTCCCAACGTGCACGAATTGATCCCTCTAAAGGAAGTTTGCTGATTATCCAAATTTACACTGACATAAAAAAAAACTTTATTGCTTGTGGTTTTTAGTGGCTTATACTAAATTTTAGAAAACGTATCTCAGTGGACAATTCGCATACATTTGTTCAGTTAAAAAAAAAATCTCCCGGCGGAATTAGCATATTGTCCCTAAGAAACAACAATGTTTATGACGCAGTACCCTCTTTAACAAGCACCTCTATCCGTTCTAAACCTGGGGCATCAAAACAAACTATTCGATTTCAGAAAACAAAGATACGCTTGGAAGCACACCTTCTGTGGTACTCTTCATCCGAACGCGTATGTCCACTGCTGAAGAAGTAAATAAAAGTGCTCGAGCCATGTCACCGAGAAGTAATACCGCACATCTCATCTTGCAAAACAGACACTGACGAAATGAAAAAAAAGAGCAAGGAAGTTAAGAAAGGTGAATGGGGCGAGGTAGTGAAAAGGGAAAAAGAAAATATCCTCAAACGGAGGGTAAACAAACACACACACGCACAAACACACGCGCACGCTTGTACGCACGCACGCGCACACACAAAAAAGGAAGAAAAAAGAATCAAGTTGGAAATTCGACAAGGAGTTTTAGATTGGAGAAGTACTCCCAGAAAATTCTACACTGCTGTTTTTGGACAAAGTCCGGGGCTTCAAACAGCATCTGTCATTTCACGCGTCATGATGGAGACAGAGTAAGAAAGGGAGGTAGACAGAAAAATATATATGAAGGAAAACAAGATGGGAAAAAAAAAGGGGGGGGGGGAGAGTTGTAGCAGCCTTGGGCAAAAAAAAAAAAAAGTAAAGGAAAAGGCGGGGAGGGGGGGGAGGGGAGGGGTGTGCCTTCATCACCTTCTAGTTTTCGAATGTAAACAACACAACGGATTCTTTGGAAAAAGCCTGTGTGGAGGAATCTAAAGTGGGGAGGGTAAAAACTCAGAAAAGGGAACTTGTAAAATTATCAAATCTCGAAGAAACCATTCCCAAGAAAAATACGCAGTAGCGGTAAAAATACGTATAAAATATTTTGACATTTGTCAATAATCGATCAGAGCAGACTACAGTGGTGCCGGCTGTTCAATCAATGGCAGGCGCAAGAGCGAAAATTCCTAATCGAAATTCGAGGTACAATTTATATATATTTGGGTGCGGTGGTGTTTTATTGTATAAGTGGTCTTTCTCTCTCTCTCTCTCTCTCTCTTTCCTTTCTCTCTTTCTGTTTTAGGTGTCGTTCTTATCTTAAAGTATCACATTTCGGTGTTTTTTTTTAAATTTATATATAGTTTATCAAACTCTATGGTTGAATGTGCGTCTTCTAGCAATGTACAGCTTCGTGTTTCATTGATTTTTCTTCCTGCGTCTATACTAGTTTCCG